TTTTTTTTTTTTTCTGCCAGTTGTAGGGCCTGAACTCTGGGCCTGGGCGCTGTCCCTCAGCTCTTCAGCTCAAGGCTAGCGCTCTACCACCTGAGCCACACCGCCACTTCCAGCTTTTTCTTCTTATATGGTGCTGAGGAATTGAACCCAGGGCCTCATGCATGCAAGGCAAGCACTCTACCACTGAGCCACCTTCTCAGCCCAAAAAGATGATTTTCTTGAACTAAAGTGGCTAGTTCATCTTGCACCTCTAACGACTTCCCAAGGGCTTTTCTTCAAGACATCTACCATACTTCTTATTCAGTAAAAGAGTATCATGATGAATACTTCCCATTTCATCAGAAAGAATATTGAAAAGACATATTTTCAAGGTTAAGACAACAAAATTAATCACTTTTACTCCTTCTTGAAGGATATATACTTAAAGGGAACTAGCTTTTGTTTGTCATTTGTTTTTATTATAGATATGTGGCAAGACCTCTGATTTGGTGCCACTGTCTTGATTCAACACATTGCTTTTGTACCATTACTGTAACTATCACCCCAATGAGAAAAAAAATGTATTTTAGCATTTACATAATGTGTTTGGATCTCAAGAACCCCTGAAAGGCTCTCATGGACCACTAGAGGTCTAAGAGGTATGTAAGTGATGTTAGTAACTATGATTGTGACTTTTCCATATGCTCCAATTAAGTCAAGGCAAACTGTCAAGAAAGGAAACTAGAAAGATCATGCCATGTTCATGTGGCTGAACTGCTTCATTTTCCTTTATTCAATCTCTAAAAGGGAAGAAGAAAGACAATTCTCTTTTTACTCTCTCATAAGAAGGGAACATTTCCCTACCTTTTTTCAAATCATGTTCTGTAATCCTATCTACTCAGGAGGCTGAACTCTGAGGACCTCCATTCAAAAACAGCCTAGACAGCTGGGTGCTGGTGGCTCACACCTGTAATCCTAGCTACTCAGGAGGCTGACATCTGAGGATCGAAGTTCAAAGCCAGATGGAACAGGAAAGTCTGTGAGACTCCTATCTCCAATAGACCATTCAGAAAACCAGAAGTGGCGCTGTGGCACAGTGCTAGCTTTGAGCTGAAGAGCTGAGGGACAGCATCCAGACCCTGAGTTCAAGCCCCACAACCAACAAAAAAACAAAGGCAAAACAAACAAACAAACAACCCAGCCTAGACAGGAAAGTTCCTGAGACTCTTATTTCCAATTAACCATGAAAAAAACCTGAAGTGGAGCTGTGGCTCAAGTAGTAGAATACTAGACTTGAGCAAAAAAGCTCAGGACAAGTGACATGGCCCTGAGTTCAAGCCCCACACTGGTACAAAAAAAAAAAAAAAAGAAAAAGATTGAATACCTAATACCAGGCCCTGGCCTGGAGACAGACCACATATAGTCTTCAGGCGAGCAAAGTATACTTAGTGAAAGAATTATAATCATATAAATGATTTGAGGCAGAGCTTGTCCAGAACATTTTCAGAAACAATGTAGTGATAAAGAGCATAGAATCCAGCTGCCAAACTACCATTGATTCTGCCGCTTACTAGCTGTGTGACTTTGGGAAAGTAACCTTTAGCACCTCAGTGTTTCAATTTCTCCACCCATAAAATGGGTATAATAATAATGCCTACCTATGCTAAGTATTAGATAAGCTAATTTATGAAAGGTGCTTAGCTTGGTTCATGGCTGTTAGCTATTATTATCATGCAAGTGCTTTATCATGCTTTTCTACTATCATGCTTTAGCCAGACTGACTGGCTGACTTATTTGGACATAGCATCATCAGAAGTCAGCTTAGGTAGAAAATGAGCATACACAAAGCAGCAATGTCACAGGAATTGTTTTGCTACAGAAAGGCAAAGGAAGCCGGGCGCTGGTGGCTCACGATGTAATCCTAGCTACTCAGGAGGCTGAGATCTGAGGATCACGGTTCAAAGCCAGCTGGGGCAAGAAAGACCGTGAGACTCCTAAGCGCTCGCCTTGAGCTGAAGAGCTGAGGGACAGCGCCCAGGCCCAGAGTTCAAGCCCTACAACCGACAAAAAAAAAAAAAAAGAAAAGAAAAGAAAGGCAAAGGAGACAATAGGGGCTACTTGGGACTGCTTCTTTGAACGTCACAGTGTAGAATAACAGAAAGAATCCTGGAGATATCAAGAAGTTAAATGCAGATCTCTCTGGACCAGGGACAGGTATATAAAAAGCAGGATACCTAGTGTCTTTTTCATTTTACTTGTGGCATATGTCACTATTTTTTAGTTGAATCAATCTTTCCCTTTATCAAGATAATAATATAGCATGACTCAAGTGACAGATGCTATTCTGTGAGAGGCTAAATTCAAACCCTAGCACTATCAAGACAAATAGAAAAGGGCTGGAAGCCTAACTCAAGTGACAGGATATTTGTGTGAAGACCTTGGGTTCAATCTCTAGCGGCACAAAAAAAAAAAAAAGTAAAAATGACACTAATGTACAGAGGTCTACTCAGTATGTTTAAAAATCTACAAATAAATTATTTCCCCTAAGAAAGGGACCATGGCTCAAAAACAATCATTACAGACTGTCAATGCATTCGGACCTTGCTGTAGGAAGTTTTCCTAATGATGTCATAATGGTGGTATGGTGTGTATTGAGCTTCCCAGAAAACTAGTTTAGACAGTCCAAAGCTGACACCTTGCCAGTCACACAGGATGATTCTTTCTTTACTGGGCTTGGATATTTTTTTCTTTACTGAACATGTGTGTGTGTGTGTGTGTGTGTTTTGGGGGGGGGGGTTGTTTTTTACAACTAGATAGCCTGGCTAATAAGATCACTATAATTAATTAAATTTTAGGCTGTGTCTGAAGTTGAATCAATTTAAGGAGCCCCTTCATACAAGTATTCAATATCTGAATTGCCACAATTGTAAGGCTGCAAAGAAATGCAAAATCATCATTACAACAAACAGTGAGAAATGAATTGACCACTTAAAAATATAGCCTTTCTTTGCATATCTCTCATGGCTTAATACTAGGAACTAACCCTATCCCACATGCCAGTGTCTTTTGTTGATCATTCAGAACTTGTCTGATGTAGTGGAAAGAGCAAATTTGTCTTTTGCAAAGTCACTGGCATATGAGGATATATCTAATTTAGGGAAGAAAAACATCATCAGGCACAATGGCACTACAAAATATTTTAAAACAAAACAGTTGAAAATTTCATGAATTAAGAAGATATGAAGAAAAAGTATAATATCCTTAAATGTTTCCATTAAAATTATTTGCTGTGTTACTGAACCACTAAATATAACAATTTATCATCTAGATGTATTTTATCATCTGATTTACTCAACATCATGAATTCCTTTTTACAATAATTGTACCCTTGTTGTGTTCTATATTAATTCATATCACTTTGCTACATACAGGAGTAGTAAATCATAATACTACACACAATGGTAAATAAAAGAAATTCTTCATATCTTAAAATAATAGTTTATCATCTCAGATTTTTTAAGAAAGTTATGCCAAAAATAAAACCTCTTTGTTTATTCTAAGAGTTTGGTTCACAGTTGAATAAAACAGCTCAGTTGTTACAAGCTATTTTTGTCAAGTAAGATAGAAGTGATTCATATAAGTGTTTATGTAAGTTTATAACTATTATTTTCATTTTTATCATTGAATCCCAATCAACTTTCTTCCTAGCCTCTCCATCATTAAGTAAACAGACTATGAACATTTTAGCCTTTAAATGGTCTTTTCCTAAGTCTTCAAAAATAATGTACCTATTGTTTAACTACAGGTAAATTATTGGTGTCTGCTCCAAGAAAATTCCTTGCCTCCTGACCTAGACCCAGAAAAATTCAACAGCCCTGTCCTTACCAGGTGCCTTTTGCAAAGGGAAGAGCTTCAGCTTTGAGAACATGGGAGTATTCTCGATTGTGTTTCTCTGGCAAAGGGAATAAAACCTAAATGCAAACCTTAATAGAATTCTGTCTGGAGATAGCAGGTTATTAGGAACTTAATGAGATCAGTTCAGTAGAAGTCTGAAGGGTCCACATTAGCCTGAATGAGATCACTGATTGAAATAGGCATAACCCCAACCTCATTGATCCAAAACCCTATGCAGTCTGAAGTGCCACAACACTGCAAATTAGAGTCTGTTTTAAAAGTTACAAATTTATCAAGCTGGAAGTCACTAGCTTTTATAAAAAGTATTCATAAAATGCCTGGCAGATATAAATAAAGCTTTCTCTTCTCCCTTATAGCAAAGCAATTCTTTGTATGTAAAAGTCAAGATAAATCAGAGATTAGGAATGATACTTAATCAAAGAATAATGTTTAAAGTTATATCTAATTTGTATGTTTTCCTTAATATTTATAATCAATAAGCATACTGAATATTCACTGAGTACTGAGAATTCTAGAATATTGAAAATGCAGAATTCATATTTATAATGAATCTGCAGTCTCCTTCACTTATAAAAATGTTTGCACATGTATATAGTTTATCTGTAAAACATATTACTTATGTGATAAGATGTCAGAGTTTTAGAAATTCATTTTCTTTGACCCTAACACAAATAGGCCAGATATTATGGCACAGCAGACAGGTAATGAATATGAAAATGGTAATTATTTAAGTCATGCTTCTTTGGATCCTGGTAATATTACTATGTGTTCTTTTTATCTCACGTGCTAACCTCATCTTGATTTTTTTAATCTCTCATATATGAATTTACATTATAGCCCCCAAACTGATTTTATTTTTACTTCCAGCAACAGTTGACAATTCTCTCTGCATTTCTAATTTTGCTTTAGAGCCATTCTAAGTCCAAATTTTGTGCCAATACCTATAAAAAGCACATGGCAAATATAGATGAGTATTTCTCTTAATGAGATTTTTACATTGGTCCTAACTCTGAAAAACATTTAAAGCTGAAACAGGCGGAGAGGAGAACATGAAGGATTTTAACATGTGAAAAGGCCAATGAGTCTGGACGTGCCTGGATACTTACTCTCTCACACAGCTCTTCAAATGTGCAGTCGGCAATGGTTCCACAGGCTTTATTCAGCCGCAGCTCTCTGCCTTGCACTTTTAGAATCCTTGGTCTAGTTACTATGGGAACATGAACAAAGACTCAATCTTGTCTGGATAATTACTATAAAATTCATCTCTTACAGATAGGAAATGCATAGCTTGATGAATAATAGCACATGATTCAACACATAAATTAGACAAAATGCTGATACAATGACTGCCACTTGAGCGTGGCATCAACCCATATACAGCAATGGAACTTATTAATTGGTCAGTGGAGATTGGGCATTGTGTTCTAAATGTATTCTCTTTCAAGAGAAATTAACTTACGTACAATCATTTTGTTTCTGAGCCAGCTCATCAAACAACTTATCCATGACAGCCTCCACATCAGCTTCACTTGTGCTACAGTGAAAAGAATAATAGAATATGAAATTAATAACACTTGAAGCCAACATCAAACAGCTGCCTGAGCCTGCTTAGCTTTTTGCCCATAAAAAAGAGAACAGGATGTTATGCTCTAAATACAAACATTAGATTTAGAATACACTTAAAAGCAGAGAATATTAACTCTCAGGTAGATGATTCTGCCTTATTTGCATACACTGAAAGACTTCTGTGCTTCTAGCTGTTTTCAGTAATGAGACCAATACAGGCAGAGTAAATCCATTAATACTATGTGTACACAATGAGAAGAAAGCTCCTGGCTCTCTCTTGCATGCAAAACAAGAGCAAATAGACAAGGCAGTCAAGCATCCAGCAAAGTATCCTTTGAAATCTCTACTGAGAGGGTACACGTGAAATTAAATAATGAAGCTGCTTTTAAAAAAAGAAAACCCAAGTCAAGCTACTGACTGAGAGGATCAAGCATCCAGAATTAAATTACTAGTTTCAAAATACCAACTTGATCTGCACATGAATAACTTTATCAGACTTCTCTAAGTCTGAGGACTTACATAAGATAAATTTCTATAAGTAAAAGGGTAAATTATACATCTCACACTTTCTCTCACTAGTGGACTTTTGGAAATTCCAGAAAATTCTCTCTGTGGTACATACTATCATAGTTACTACGAAGTTAGCCTTATCCCACAATCTTTTGTATTCTAATTAGAAATCACCATATGGTTGAGGGAACCCACATATAGAAATGTGATAATGCTATGGCCTTTTTTCTTCTCACTTTGCTTCGAGTGGTTGGTAAATTAGCAGTCAATAAAATAAAATAACTTGTAGAAGAAAGAAACACTACTTTAAAAAAAAAACTTGAAGTGAAAATGTAAGTTTACTCCAATTCTTCATAAAAAAATTATACAGGATGACCTGCCAATATGCTTAATTTTGACACACAAATCACTCTTCGCTAGTTGGGGAACTAATTGAACTACAATCTGAACATCCACTCTAATAAAGTCTTACTGAAAATTAATTCAACATATTGTATTTTTTAAGCTTAAACTAAACAAAACCATTCTCCCTTGAGATAATTATCAAGTGGCAGACATTTAACATACAACCACCTAATTCTTCAACTGTTCCATAGCAAATGACCTAAAAATGCAGCAAAACACAAAGTCATTATGAAGGGCATGGAACTGTCACATTACAAATTATAGCGACTCTACCACTTTCTTGTAAGAGAAATATTATTTCCTTTCAGAAAGCCTATATAAAATTTGAAGAAAGCCATATTAAAAGAACTAAATGATATCACAGAAAGTGATTATGGAGAGAGACAATGTAAATGTCTATGCCCACACAACCACAGGTATGTTTATATACCATTCTGGAGAATTCATTTGGACCATTTACACCTTGCAATGACAGCGTGCATAAGCACAAGCTTTGGAGAAATGATTTACCTTTTAAGATACGTAGAAGAAAGGAGAGAGTGGGTCTGGGGTACAGCACTGGTCAAGCATGTGCAAAGTTCTGGGTTTGATCCATATCATATCATGCACACACACAGCAACACTAGCCACACAACATATCTGCATGCTTTTAGAAATCAATCTTGCCTTAAGCGAGGCATGTTATCCAATATAAAGGAAGAACTAAATTCTGAAAAATAACTCAGATAGATAACGTTTACCATAAATATTTGGTAAATAAGCAATAAATTACTTGGTAGCAATTTTTTTAACCTTAGTGCCCTTTTTATTTTATTTTATTCATTCACTCATTTATTTTGCTGGTCCTTGGGGCTTGAATTTAAGGCCTTGGCACTGTCCCTGAGCCTCTTTGTGCTTAAGACTAGCATTCTGCCATTTGAGCCACAGCTCTGTTTCTGGCTTTTTTGAGTGGTTTATTGGAGATAAGTGTCTCATCATGACTTTTCTGCCTGTGCTGGCTTTGAACCACAAATCCACAAATCCTCAGATTGCAGCCTCCTGAGTAGCTAGGATTACAGATATGAGCTACTGGTGCCCAGCAGTGCTCTTTCTGCAATATGTTATTATTTGGGGGGGGGGGGGGGTCCGGTCATGGGGTCTGAATTCTGGGCCTGGGCGCTGTCCCTTAGCTCTTCAGCTCAAGACTAGCGCTCTACCACTTGAGCTACAGCGCCATTTCCGGCTTTTTTCTGCTTATGTGGTGCTGAGGAATGGAACCCAGGGCCTCATGCTTGCCAGGTAAGCACTTTACCACTGAGCCAACGTCCCAGCCCCATCTATAATACATTATTAACATGTGGTTCAACAGACTATATTTTAAACATATCTTCTCAAACATATGTGAAACTTCTATACCTGATATCACATATAGTAATGATATATGAGATGGCAAAATTGTCATTTTCCCAGTTTTTTTCTTAAAATTGGTTGTTTATGTTGGCTTTTGGTTTCATTATGTCTTTAAGACAGGGTTTCTCTATATAAATGTCTATGTCTACACAGCCACAGGTTTGAGGATGGCCTTGAATTTACTATGTAGTCCAGGCTGGTGCTCAAATCCATGATCCTCCTATCTCAACCATCACGTGTGACACAAATTTAATTTTTACCTATAACACCCTTAGAAAAATTTCATTATATGATCACAAATCCAGAACTTATCAAATAAAAATTTTAAAAATTCCAACAGATTAAAAGGTTAAAACTCCAACAGAAAAACTGCCTTCATTCAGAGTACACTATACATATCTATGAAATTGTTACAGTAAAACCTCATCATATTATAAATATAGGCTAATTTAAAAAAAAAATTTTTGTCAGTCATGGGACCTGAACTCCAGACCTGGGCACTGTCCCTCACCTCTTCAGCTCGAAGTTAGTGCTCTACCACTTGAGCCACAGTGCCACTTCCAGCTTTTTCTGCTTATGTGATGCTGAGGAATCAAACCCAGAGCCTCATGTATGAAAAGCAAGAACTCTACCACTAAGTCACCTTCCCAGCCCTCAAAAATAAAAAAAAATTTTTTTTTTTTGGTTGGTAGTGGGGTTTGAACTCTGGGCCTGGGCGCTGTCCCTGCGCTCTTCAGCTCAAGGCGAGCACTCTGCTCTACCACTTGAGCCACAGCACCACTTCCAGTTTTTGAGTGTTTTATTGGAGCTAAGAGTCTCACAGACTTTCCTGCCCAGGCTGGCTTTGAACTGAGATCCTCAGATCTCAGCCTCCTGAGTAGCTAAGATTACAGGCATGAGCCACCAGCACCTGGCAAAAATAAAATATTTTTAAGAAATTGTCAAGGGACAGGAACAGGTAAATTGCATGAAAAGGTAGTTCAAAGGGCAAGAAGCATGTGTGAAAATTATTCATTATTCATTAAAAGTGAAATAATGAGATACTATTCTTCTATCCTATCTGGCAGAGACACGGAAAAAATAAAAAAACACTCTGAACAAATGTATGAATAGAAAAGACATTCATCATAATATTAGTACAAGACTTCAGGATGTGATGGTTAATATCAATTGTCAACTTAATTGGATTGAGAAAAGCCTTGAAGGTTAGTAAAGCACACCCCTAGGTGTGTCAGTGAGAATATTCCCAGAGACAATGAAATCATGAGAGTTTTGATTTTCATGAATGATTTAATCCATTGATAGACCCCAAATCTGAATTAATTATTAGGAGGTGACAGGACTGGGGGCAGGGGAGCCTGGTTAGAGGAAGTGGGACACAGGGATCCTGTCACTGGTCTCTGTCTTTCCCTGTCCTCTTCCTGTAAGCAGCACTGTTCTACTTCCAGTCCAGTGTAATATAAGCTGTTTTACCATCACGAAAAAATAAATCTTTCCTCCCTTAAGTTGTTTCTGTCCAGTATTCATTCATAGTGATAATAAAAGTAAAGCACAGGCTGAGCACTGGTGGCTCATACCTGTAACCCTAGCTATTTAGAAGACTGAGATCTAAGGATTGTGGTTCAATCCCAGCCCAGGCAGAAAAGTCTGTGAGACTCTTACCTCCAAAAACTACTCAGAAAAAACTGAAAATGGCACTATGGCTCAAGTGGTAGAGTGCTAGCCTTGAGCACAAAGAGGCTCAGGGACAGTGCTTAGACCCTGAGTTCAAACCCCAGGGCCCACAAAAACATAAATAAATAAAAGTAAAACACAGGCCAACCAGATAATATGTAACACATTGCTGGGCATTGGTGGCTCACACCTGTAATACTAGCTACTCAGGAGGCTGAAATTTGAGGATCATGGTTTGAAGCCTTTCTGAGCAGAAAAGTATATGAGGTTCTTCAATTAACCACCAGAAATCTGGATGTGGAGATGTGGATCAAGTGGTAGAGCTCCAAACTTAAGGAAAAAATGCTCAGGGATAGGGTCAAGATCCTGAGTTCAAGCCCCAGGACTGGCAAAAAAAAAAAAAAGTTTAGCAAAATAAAACACAAGAAAGTAGTGGTGCTGTTAGTTTAAGGGGAAGGGGAGAGTGGATGAATGACTAGGAAAAGGGGGAAACTGAAGATAAGAATCCAATGTAAGCTGGGTACTACTGGCTCACACCTGTAATCCTAGCTACTCAGCAGGCTGAGATCTGAGGATGGCAGTTCAAAGCCAGCCTGGGCAGGAAAGTCTGTGAGACTCTTACCTCCAATTAACCACCAGAAAACCAGAACTGGTGCTGTAGCTAAAGTGATAGATCACTCGCCTTGAGCTGAAATGCTCAGGGACAGTACCCAGGCCTAGATTCACGGCCCACGACCAATCAAAAAAAAAAAAGTAGAAGAAAAAAAGAATCCAATGTTTATCCTACAAATTTTAAAAGAGGAAGAGAAGGGCGGGTAGGGAAGGGATGAGTGAGAATGTTGAAAGGGGTGACATTGATCAAGATATATACAACTACTTAGAGATAGTAATTAATAACAAAAACAAAAATACGTATCATAGAATCCACTACTCTGTTCATAGGAATTTTAACTAAGGAAATAGTAATGGTTAATTATGACTGATTATAAT